GAATTAATTATAATTTAATGCATTTACTGAGTCATTTGTAAGACCCAAGATAGAACACAACCTAAATATCTATCTTTACGGGATCTATACCCTAGATCTATGCAACTAATTTATACAAAAAGCTCTCTAATATTAATTGCAATGTGGTAAAAATCAAAGCAAGATACAGGATGAAATGTACCATATGCTACCATGTTTTCATGTTGTATGTTTAAGATCTGGGTGTGGTGGTGCACACCTTAATCCCAGCAGAGGTAGACAGATCTCTGAGTTCTAGGCCATCCAGGACTGCACAGTAAGACCCTGTCTCAAAAAAAAGAAAAAAAAAAGGATGTGGGATGTAGGTATATGTGTGGATGAGGCTGTGGTTCAGTTGTTCAAATGCTTGCCCAGCATGCACAAAGTCCTGGACTCATCCCCAGTACCACATAAAACCAAGCATGGTGGTGTGCACCTTTAATCCTGCATTTGGTGAATGCAGGAGTATCAGAAACTCAAGACTGTCCTCAGCTGCATAGTATGCTTGAGGCCAGCCTGTATCCTGTCCAAAAAACAACAAACATGGTTATGCTAGTATAGGCATCACTGCTTCTAGAAGGATATAGAAGAAATGTGGTTTTTATTTTAGGTGTGTGCGTGTTTTTCTGCATGTCTGCCTGTGTGCCGTGTATGTGCCTGCTGCTTTCATAGGCCAAAAAAGGACATCAGATCCACTGGAACTGGAGTTATAGATAATTGAAAAATGTCGTGTGGGATCTAGAAATTGAACCTGGGTCGTCTGAAAGAGCAACCAGTGCTCTTAACCACTGAGCCATCTCTCTAGCCCCATATACAAAACTTGAAATTGTGATTATTTCTGGAGAGTGGGAGAGAAGGGATGAGGTATGGTTTTTATTATATATTTTTAATAGTTTGCTTTATTCATATATTAAGGGGCTTGAGAAATGGCTAGGGGCTGAAAAGCAGCCTATTTCTCTTGCAGAGGACCCAAGTTTGGTTTTTAGCACCCACATCAGATAGGTCACAGTAGCTCCCAGGAAATCTGACACCTCTGGTCTTTGTGAGTACCTGTACTCACATGTATGTACCCACACAGAAACACACACACACACACACACACACACACACACACACACACACACACACACACGCGCGCGCGCGTAATTAAAAATAAATCTAAAAAAAAATCAAATATTATATTGTTACCACCTAAATGGAGAGGAAGAAAAGTAGATTGAGGCTAGAATATTTAAAATAAGGTTTTTCCAGAGACCTCCGTGTCAAACATATATATATATATATATGTATGTATGTATGTATGTATGTATGTATATACATATATATATATATATAACTCATTAATAACGGTGTGATTATTTGAGGTTTATTTTGGACTTGGGAGAGAGGGGTTGTTCTGGGTTTTGAGACAGGATCTCATGAAGCTTAGGCTGGATTTGAACTCACTATGCAGCCATAGGTGACCTTGAACTCCTCATCCTCTTGCCTTAACCCCCAAGTTAACCAAACATATCCATCTCTATTCCAGTATTCCTACAGAATAATACAGTCTTTTCACTACATTTCAGAGAGATTCAGTCCACTAAAGGAAACCAATACATAACTGACTGTGGAAACATCAGTTAAAGTAATTCTATAACATCGGCATCTCTGACCTCTCTTGGCTTGATTCACAGGCTCTTACAAACTTGGGTGAGATTCTGAAAGCTGCAGGCTGTGACTTCACTAATGGTGAGCAACGGTGTCTTTGTTCAGTGTTAGTTGCTGGGTTTTGTTGTTTGTGTCGTGGCCTCATGCATGTCAGGAAGCATTCCACCATTGAGCCACCCTACCACTGTTGATGTGTGTTTGGTGTTTCCTCGGTCTTTGTGAAGGACGTGTGACACCCGACAGCATGTCATTCCGTGGTCTGGGAAACAGCACTTTCATTCCACTTCTTCAGTCCCATTTGAGTCCTCTTCTCATAGTCATAAAATCATACACTGCCTTTCTAAGTCTTGTTTTGAATCTGATGAATGAAAACATTTATCTTCTAGTGGTAAAGACAACTGTTTTGTTGGCTGACATAAATGACTTTGGCATGGTCAATGAAATCTACAAAATGTGTGAGTAATTTGTCTTTATTCCTGCTTACTTTTAAAGGTAAATAAATCTGCTGATATAAATGAGTATCATTGTCAAGTAAAAGTGACAGAGATGTTAAAATGCTCTTTTGTCCTGACACTTATGCCCTCTTGGAAAAGATCTAGTAATATTTCTCTCAAAGTTCCAAAAAATAGAAGATACATAAACCCTGCAGGTTCTTTTTCCTAAAGCTTAATTTTATTATTTGTTTCTTTGCTTTTTTAAGCCTTACCCTAATTTTTTTTAGACAGATCGGCTTATTGCTATTGCTATGATATGATCTAGCTACTGTCTTTGTTCTGGCTCTCTCCGAATCAGGAGTTGTTATTTAACATTTCCATGCTTGGGTTTCTTAGTATGTAAAGAGAGGTCAGTGTTCTGCTACCTTAGGAGGCTGCTGGAATGATTAAATGAATGACCTATAAGCACTTAGGACAGATGCTGGCACTCAGCAAATGCTGCTGTCGCCGTCATTGTCAAAGTGGGGAAAGTGGGTTCCTGTCTCCTGGTGGGATGAAATAAAGGTGTGGTGTGGAAAAAATATCAGAGAGGGCCAAGTTAATGGAAGGTCCTTGCTGAAGATAAGGATCCATTCCCTATTTTGGTAACTGCTCCATAGGTATCCTTTTAAAGCCCAAACCCATTCTCATCAAAAGACAAAAATGCCAGATTATGTCTTTCATTGTTTTGTAAAATATTTAGGAAAGTACTAAATGTCATAAAGTCATGTGGCAGAATATCTTGTCAGACAATCTGAATTCAGCTTTTCTGAAGTGTCGCTTGTGCGTGGGAACCGGCCAGGCCATCAGGCAGTTCCCAGACTCTTGCTTCTGCTGCTGAGGCTAACCTGAGGTTCTGCATGCAGATTTCAAGAGCAGCCTTCCTGCCAGAGCTGCGTACCAGGTCGCCGCTTTGCCCAGAGTAAGTATGCAATAAGAAGGCCAGTGTACGGGCACACAAACCGTCACTCTGAAAGGACACTTAAAAATAGTACAGTTCCTTGGCCAGGTGTTGGTGGCGCATGCTTTAATCCCAGCACTCAGGAGTCAGAGCCAGGCAGATTTCTGTGAGTTCGAGGCCAGCCTGGGCTACAGAGTGAGATCCAGGACAGCTACCAAAACTACACAGAGAAACCCTGTCTCAAAATACATACATACACATATAGATTTTATATATATATATGAGATTTTATATATATATATGAGATTATATATATATATATATGAGAGAGAGAAAAAGAGAGAGAGAGAGAGAGAGTACAGTTCCTGTTTCTCAGAAATATAGTCTAAAGGTAAAGTCCAGATAACTGCTGTGTACCTAGGAAAAACTTAAGAAATCTTACAAAGCAACACATGGGCATGACACAGTCCAAAGATTTAAATCGAGAAAAACCTTGAAGAGCAGTTGTGTGGTGATGCTACTTAGGGAATGAAATTTGTGCGGGGTTTGAGTTCTGTAGAAAAGCCTTCACCTGGAGGAGGGGTGCATGGTGGGCCTCCTGTGCGTCGCCTGCAGTCCGACTTCATGCCGCAGTGTCCTCCTTTCAGTAAGGACTTCTGAAAATGGAGCACAGTGTAAAATTCTGTGGAGACCTGGACAGCCTTGGCTCCCTCACATACCAGCAAGGTGTGAAACTAACTCTCTTGCTAGTTTCTCCTTATTTTAGAGTATTGGCCAGAGAATTTGGCTATTATTGTTATTAATCCTAATAGAAAAAAGATTCACCTGGCTCTCATATAATAAAGAGTCTAGGGGCTGGAGAGATGGCACAGAGGTTAATTGCTCTTCCAGAGGTCCTGAGTTCAATTCCCAGCACCCACATGGTGGCTCACAACCATCTGTAATGAGATCTGGTGCCCTCTTCTGTATACATAATAAATAAATAAATCTTAAAAAAATGAATGAATGAATAAACAAACAAACAAACAAATAAATAAGTAAATAGTCTAGACCTTTCCCTGGAGCGATGCTCTCTAAAGCAGTGGCACACAAATGCCAGCGTTGTGGTTTTGGTCACTAGGGCCTCTTTGCTCTGCCTCCTGCCTATACTGCACACCTGCAGCAGGTCCTGCTCTCTTCCTGTGACTCTCAGTAAAGACACTGTGTCACCCAGCACTGTCATCTGTTGTTTCAATTAGCTGTCACTGGGAAGAGTCATTGAGTGTAGTTGAAAGAGCTTTAAACTTGGAATCAAGAGACATGGGTTTGGCCATCCACTGTTGGTCTTTGCAACATGGGACAGCTTTACCAGCCTCTCTGAGGCCAGTGCCCTGTTTCCGACTTGGGCTGCTGTGGGTGTTGGATGAGCTAATGCGTATGGATGTGCATAACATGGTAGCCTGACCTGTGCAGGCTCTTAGTGGATTCTCTCTATTCTTTGCTCCCTATGACAAGATTAATGGTAAAAATACTATGTTGCCATTAGTTGCATATGATTTTAGAAGGGATTACTGAACCTTAATTTGTATTAAATGACCGAGATGGTAACTTTTTTGTTTTCATTACAGGGAAGCCGAATTGAAATTGAAGCAATTGCTGTCCTGGGACCTTTCACCACAGCATGACTATAAGTGGCCATGCTGATGTTGACTCTGGATTTCTTTGGAATGTCTTTCACACCTTAATTTTTACAAATGATGCTGGGAGGTATAAACATGACCAGAGTAGCTGAGGTAATCGTGGAAATGACCTTATATATGTAGACTTGACGTGAATTGGAGATTACTGAGAACACTGGCTGATGTTCTAATTGTACTTAATACTCTGTGCTGAGTGAGGGAAGGATCAGCACAGCTACTCAGATGAGCAGCAGGGAAGGGACCAATGAGCTGTTGTTCATGACAAATAGTAAAGAGCACACTTAATTAATTAAATTATATTAATTTGCTCATGTGAAATATTTAGTTCTCATGTTAGATGTAGGAAACTCAAATCAAAATACTTAAACTTGAATAGTATAGGAGAATAGAGTGAACCAAAATCTTACACAGATAATATTTTTCTAATGGAAATAAAAATAGAAGTGTAACTTTCCCTTCATGTGGTAGTAGTCTCTCTCTCTTTTTTTTTTTTTTTTGACACTTTAATTATACATTAAAAATACTGCCTAGTACCAGGAATGGTGGCACACGCCTTTAATCCCAGCAATCAGGAGGCAGAAGCTGACAGATCTCTGAGTTTGAGACCATCCTGGTCTACAAAGCAAGTTCCAGGACAACCAAGGCTATGCAAAGAAACCCTGTCTCAAAAAGCAAAATAATAATAATAATAATGCTGCCTAATAAAGGGGAGTAGAAATTGTGAAGTCAAATCTCCAGCCATTTTATTGCTCATAGTTTATTTCTGACAGTCTACATTTTTACACTTAGAATTAGGTTGTGTATAATTATCTTAGTTAGGGTTTCTATTGCTGTGAAAAGACACCATGACCATGGCAACTCTTATAAAGGAAAACATTTAACTGGAGCTGGACTACAGATTCAGAGGTTTAGTCCACTATCATCATGGTGAGACATGGTGGAACGCAGGCAGACATGGTGCTGGGGAAGGAGCTGAGAGTTCTGCATCCAGACCAGCAGGCAGCAGGAAGAGAGTGCCACACTGGGCCTGGCTTGACCTTCTGAAGCCTCAGAGCCCACCCCCACTGACACACTTCCTCCAACAAGGCCACGCCTCCGAATAGTATTGCTCCCTATGGACCTATGGGGACCATTTTTACTCAGACCACCACAATTATCATGTTTGTGCTTTAAGCTTTATGTGTATTGGTGGTTTGCCTGCATGTCTGTTTGTGCCCCACGTGTGTGCAATGCCTGCTGAGACCAGAAGTGGGTATCACATCATCTTTGACTGGAGTTAGAAGGTTGTGCATCACTATGTGGATGGCTGGAGATGAGCCCAGGTCCTCTGGAAGAGCAGCCAGTGCTTTGGCCTGCTAAGCCGTCTCCCCATCTCCACTGTAAAGGCTTTGTTTGGGTGGATTTTTGAGACATGTATACCTTCCTCTGTTGTCTAGACTCTTGCCTCAGCCTCTGGGATACCCAGGCCTGATGGTGTACCAGCTCTAAAGCCTTTAGCATTTCAGACAACCACATGAGTAACTTCTCATGGTAGAGTGAGTCCTAGCACAGAGTAACATAGATTGAAAAGGACTGATCTCCTGGCTGACATCCTTTCCATTTACCTCTCCCAGGGCACCACTACCAGGTGCTCTCAGTGAAGCTGGCAGGTGGTCTTTCACCCACTGCACACTTGATTATCTGCCTTTGTTTCCCTGTTTACATAAATGAACTGTCACCGTATACATTATTTCACAACTTGCTTCCATATACAGGTGTAGGTTTTAAAACTACAGTAGACTTTGGTTTGGTTTGGTTCCCCCCACCCCCACCCCCGAGATAGGGTTTCTCTGTATAACCACCCTGGATGTCTGGGAACTCACTCTATAAATCAGGCTGGCCTCGAACTCACAGAGATCTGCCTACCTCTGCCTCCTTGTGCCCCTCAAGTGCTGGGATTAAAGGTGTATGCCCCACGCCCAGCTACAGTAGACTTAAAACCATATTTTAAAAACTTTTTTCAAGTAACTACAGTAGAATAGTCTTTTGTGTAGATAGATATTAGGTGATTTAATGCCTGTACAAACCAGTATTTTTAAAATTAACGTTTTTTTATCAGGGCTACTATGGAATTGGTAAGGTGACTTTTTCATATGTGGACAAATGTCTCTTCACCCTAGATAGGACACCAACAACATGCCAAAGATATGATTTCATCTAAGTCGACCTTAGTGAGCCTCTCAGTTTATCGCCTCTAGGAGTATGAATAACCAAAATGATTCACGAAAAGCTGCAACCCTGGGGCTCCCTACACACTGTGCAGGGAGCTTAGCTGCTCAGAGACTCCTCCGCCTTAACCTTGGAGAAGGGGCTTGTCTTAAAACCTTAAGACACTATACTACTGCTGTGAAGAGACACTATGACCACGGCAACTCTTTTTTTTTTTTTTTTTTTTTGGATTTTTGAGACAGGATTTCCCTGTGTAGTTTTGGTGCCTGTCCTGGATTTCGCTCTGTAACCCAGGCTGGCCTTGAACTCACAGAGATCCGCCTGGCTCTGCCTCCCAAGTGCTGGGATTAAAGGCGTGTGCCACCACCGTCCAACTCACAGTAACTAACGCTTATAAAGAAAAAACATTTAATTGATGTGGCCCACTTACAGTTTCAGAGGTTCAGTCCATTATCATCATGATGGGGAGCATGGTGGCCGGGAGGAAGACATGCTGGCTACATCTTGACTTTCAAGCAACAGGAAGTCAACTGTCACACTGAGCAAAGCTTGAGCAAAAGAGACCTAAAAGCTCCCCCTGGAGTGGCACACTTCCTCCAACAAGGCCACACCTCCTAACAGTGCCACTCCCTTTGGGGGCCATTTTCTTTCAAACCACAGCAGGGCTTGTGGAGGCTCGGGGGCCTCCTAAGCAAAGCCTAGCAAGGGCTGGTGAAGGTCGCAGCTTTTCCACTTTGGGGCAGCCTGGACAAGTCCCAGGCTCTGTCCTTAGTTGGTTATTACCTTGAGCTGCCGTCAGGGGCATTGAAGACTGACTGTCCTTTGTTCGTGGCTTCCTCAGAAACTGCTTGCCCGGTCTCAGGAAAGAGGCCTGACCTCTGACAGAAGCCTGAGCAGCCTGAGCAAACGGTGTTTGCTAAGTCCTCTCACTCCTAACTGCTGAGCCGTCTCTCCAACCCCTTGTTGGGCATTTTCTGTTGTTAGGTCTCAAACCCGGGACAAATGGCTGAGGCCAGGTCCACTTTAATATGTTAAGTAGGCATCTCAGCCATTTGTCTGTGCTTGAGCCGGCATCAGATAAAGGAACAAAAGAAATGAGAAGGATGGACATGACTGCTCCGAGGTGACGCAGCTGTCCCTCTTATAACAGGACCAACCCTCACAGGGCCAGCTGTGCTGTTTTGTTTGCCCAGGGCCAGTTTGCTGAGACCTCTGCCCCACATCACCCCCCCACCCCCACCCCGTCTTATGCTGACTTCATATCTGCCTTCAATCAGACCCTCAGGATGTATGTTCAGTCTGGTAGCCAATCACGGTCCTACCTGGCCACAAGCAGGAAACGTTCAGACAGACCCCTGACACAACATCCACAGTTGCTGACCAGACATCATGAGCCAATCATAAAATGGTTCCTGTACCAGTAAGGGTCTAGACCCAATCACTTCAAAGTACACTTGACCACAGCTGGAGTCCCCTAGCCATGCTTAAAAGGAGCCTTCAGGCTTCTCTCAGGGTCACCATTTTGCCCCTTTGTCAGATGGTTTGAGCCCTGCATGCTGGAATTTTTGCTCTGGAGAATCAAATGCTCTTGTTGATTGCATAGTGTCTGGTGGTCATTTATGGGACTTCTCGTGGACCCTACCACTAGGTACGGTGGAGAAGAAAGTTTATTGTAGATAAAAGGGAAGAGCATGCCAGAGGCAGAGATCTAGGACAATCCAGCATGAACATGACCCTGAGCAGGGCCATGTGAGGAGAACAGGGAGGGGAGAACCAGGAGAGTAAAGTGTAGACAAAAAAGGGGCTGGGTAACTGAGATTGCTGAATTACTTCAGGAAGAGCAGCTCAGCCCCTGGGCTGGAATTTAGGGTATGGGGTGGGGGATGCTGCCAGCCATACCCTAAAACAGGTAGGGACTGAGAGATCCTAGGAGACCCTGGCAGCCAGGTCCACTTTGATATGTTAAATAGGCACTTGTGGTGATATATTGTATACCCTGTATACCCCAATATATACCCTAATAAACTTACCTGGAGATCAGAGGACAGAGCCAGCCACTAGATTAGACATGGAGGCCAGACAGTGGTGGCACACATCCTTAATCCTATCACTCGGGAGGCAGAGATCCATCTGGATCTCTGTGAATTCAAGGCCACACTGGAAACAGAGCAGTGGTAGCACACACCTTTAATCCCAGAACTTGAGATCTCATGCCTTTGCTTGGAAAGCACACAGGCCTTTAATCTCAAGAAGTGACATAGCTGGGTGAAGAATGTACATAAGGTATGAGGAACTAAGCAGGAGTTCAACTGAGACCCTCAAGGGTGAGGACTCAGAGGCTTTCAGGCTGAGGAGTTGGCAAGGTGAGGTTGGCTATGGTTTGTTCTGTTTCTCTGATCTTTCAGCTTTTACCCCAATATCTGGCTCCGTTTTTTGTTTGTTTGTTTGTTTGTTTTTGTTTTTTTGTTTTTATTAATAAGACTGTTCAGTAATTCGTGTTACAGGTACCTCAGCTGTTTTTCCTAGACCTAACAACAGTTCCATCCCTCTGAGCCTGAGGCTTGATATGGCTTGATATGAAGCCAGGGAGTGGAATGGCTCCTATAGGCTCATGTGTTTGAATGCTTAGTCATAAGGGAGTAGCCCTACTTGGGAGGGATTAGGAGGTGTGGCCTTGTTGGAGGAAGTATGTCACTAGGGGTGTGCTTTGAGGTTTCAAAAGCACAAACCAGAACCAGGGCTCTCTCTCCCTGCTGCCTACCTGTCTGGACTCTCAGCTCCTCCAGCACCATATCTGCCTGTGTACCTCCATGCTTCCTGCCATGCTGATAATGGACTAAACTTCTGAAACTGTAAGCAAGCCTCAATTAAATGCTTTTCTTTATAAGAGTTGCTGTCGCCGGGCAGTGGTGGCGCACGCCTTTAATCCCAGCACTCCGGAAGCAGAGGCAGACGGATGAGTTCGAGGCCAGCCTGGGCTACAGAGTGAGTTCCAGGACAGGCTCCAAAGCTACACAGAGAAACCCTATGTTGAAAAACCAAAAAAGAAAAAAAAAAGAGTTGCTGTGGTCATGGTGTCTCTTCACAGCAATAGAACATTGACTAAGACAGTATCTTTATGGACTTTACAAAGAGTTTCCATGTAGTCACATCTAATCTGTATTTGATAGACCCCAGACCCAGGGTACTACCTTCTCGAAGGGGCGCCCCAAGAACCCAGACTCCAGTCCAGTTGATGCAAGAGCATGAAGT